AGTATGATGACTGGTGAAGAGAAGACGACTCCAGTGTCAGGGCACGTAGACGCTCATGCACTTGAGGCGAGATTCGGCGGTTGGGAGTTGGAACAAGTAATATGAAGTGTGCAGTCGCAAGGTTCCTACAAGAAAGTAATAACGTAACGGCGTCCCTTGTGTCAAACTCCGCACGGAGTCGGGTGAGATGGCGAACGGATGGTAGTGTCTCGACGAATCGTGATATTCCGGTCCCTCCGAGCGAAAGACAAACGGTGTGAAGGGGTGAAGTCAATAGACGGTGCGCAAGTTGGGATTCAAGATCTCCGAGTTGCTGCTCGTACCTCTCATCAAGCTCAATCTTTAGGGACTTCAATGTGGGCATTCCCCGGTCCAGAAACCTCTAGAGGAGGATGGTATGTTGATTGAACCCCGATGAGGAATGACATATTTGAATGATCTCCATCATCGTGATTGTTGGAGGATTAGGTCGCAGAAGCTCTCCATGTTAGGGTGTGAACTGTGCTTTACGTCGCGACTAACGACAAGCTCCACTTCCACGAATAAAGGTTCGCGAGCAGAAAAAAAAAAGGTGATCGCCTAGCTGTCGGAAAGCTATCGTTGGGTAGAACACGGAACGATGGATCTTCAGGGAAATGTTTGCCAAAAGGTGAGGCATCGATCGAACAACTCTCCACCACCTGCTACGTACCCATCCCACACTGTACGCATCCGACCTGCGCTGAGACTTTTGCCATCCAAGACAGTTTTTCTCCACTGCGTAATTGAAAATGTGCTCCAGCATTTCTATCGGAATTCGCTGAAAAGGAGATAGAAATTTTTCGTAGTCCACACGAAGCTGTTTTAGGCGCTTAAGTGATGTTTAATCTCCTCGATTCGCACAACCCGACGCGAGAGGTTTCCGCCCGCTAAACTTGCTATGATTCCCAACACTCTCGAAGCTGGACTTCCGAGTGCTGTTTCGTGATAACAAATTTCCTCGTCGACCCCTTCGATGGAGGCGATGGCCGCCTTCGTAGATGTGAAATCGAAGGAATCTCGTGAATAGTGCAAACTTGAACCCGGATTTGAGGGAGTCGTTTCAGGCTAGAATCGGTCGCTTCAGTCAATAAACATACGTGAAGAAATACGGAACGAACCAAAACCCCGCTGTAGTTAACGTCCAAATTGGCTATGGTGGATTGAAGACAAGTTCTGAGGCATGAGACGTGGGTATATATACAACCTGATCATGATCAGTTGACTCGCACGTTAACAGCTTTTAAATTTATTATATCAAGACTGGGGACGGTGCTGCCCGGATATTAAAGGGAATGCTCTGACCCGCCGGACACATGACACATCACTTGATGTAAGCTTAAATGGACCCAGCAGAGGTGGCGGCATTTGGCTTTTCATGTTTTACCATGCTTAATATAAGTCCGAGATGCCTTGCGTTGTGACTCGGCTGCAAATTGCCAAAAATCATGACGATCAGATAGAGCTGCACGTTCAAATTGTTGTCATGACCGGTTATTTCACACCGACTTCAAATCCACCCAGGAAGATTGTGATCGCGTGGTGTATGAGCATCTAAATGGGTAAAAAGATTGAGGACCCGAGCACTTACCACCCCCCAAAGAAATCTTTTTCATTCAGCCCGAGCGAGTCCACTGAAAATCAAGTATCTATCAATGTTGAGTTTTCTCTGCTAGGGAGAACCAACTAAGTCAATTTTCAACTCGAGATACATAAAATTTCTTCTATCAGAGGTCTAAGAGTACCATCCACTGGATATCCATTCAAATGCTTGTACCCAAACTCTGAGCAATATAGCTCAGCCAGAACTCTTCTGATGAATTTCAGTGACAGTTTCTGAGGTTTGAAAGAAATGGATAGTTACCGGGGGCATATGATGGACGGGAAAAGCACAACTACCCAAAGGGAAGCTGAAGGCTTGCTGGTGAGCCTAGTGCCTCTTAATTTATTTGGAGTATTGCCAATTTGCCATAACTTATTTCAAACAGAGACGGTATCTGTTAGGTAGACCCGTAACAGATCGTTTTATGATGAAGGAGCAGTATATACCGACCCCGATATCGCGGTGCTAACCGTATCATCTTCCATTCACCGATCGCTCAAGTACGCGGCCGCTAAGAAGTTTCTTCTGTACAGAAGTGACCTGTGATAGTCTGATGCGGGGGTGTGCAAGCAATATTTCCGACCGCGTGGCGTTTTTTGCCTACTACAAGTAAAAAAACTCTAACCCCCTGTTTCCAGACCAGTTACATTGTCGTAGTCCCGCCTTGTAAGGACGCAGAGGGGCAGATCTCCAAATAGTGTCGGTAATACGTATCTGCCTCTTTCCTCGAAGCCCATTGCTTTGTACTTGATAACCTAGCAAGAATCATAAGCATCTCATTATCCGAATTCTTTATGTTTATCCACAGCAGTAACCTTAATTGAAAACTACTTACGGTCGGTGGGATAGTAGCCAGCGAAAGGAATCCGTTGGTTTTTGATGCACGTTTAGCGACTTCGTTTACGATAGCCTTGGCACACCCTTTACCACGATATTCAACATCCGTGAACAGGCCAGAGCACCACCACCTATGTTTCATTTCCTATGTTTTCAGTTCAGCAAGAACGTAAGAACTTCTACAAGTAACGGCGTAAGCTTGCCTCGTCCGTGAACATCGGCTCGACATATTTCTTTTTAATTTCAGTAAGCTGAAGGTTTGTGATTAATGATGATGAACTCGGTGCGTGTTTAGTTACCAGACCTCAAGTTGAGCAACGTACGGTTTTGGTATGCCAGTCCTTTGTTTCCGGACTCAGTTTCTCGAACCAATCGTAGAACCCTAAAGCACGTTGGGCTTCCCTTGGGTTGATAGACATTGAGTAATAGTGTCAAGGCTACGAGGAAAGATCGATTGAAAGACGTACGTTGAGAAGACACCCGTTCCAGGTGCGTACCATATTCCCATAGAGATGAATCGACCCGATTTTGTATCCTTGGCTGCATAGAGCTCTCCTTCTAACATAGCTGCTCGCAACAACGCGCGCCCTCGAATGTCAAATAGGGACCAATCGCCACCTAGTACAGCATTGAAGTAACTGTCTGAAGAACATATTCATATTTTTCCACGGTTATTTTTGGGAATTTGCTAACCTCCTGCGAATGCCTGTGTATGCAACTCGATGGCCTGCTTCATTTCTTCCTCTTCCAGTCAAAAATGTATGTAGTTAAAGCGGCGTTCACGTAGTTTGAATAAGCCCACCTGTCATTTCTTTGATTAGATGAATTGTGAATGAGGAATTCACCTTCTCCATGGTTTCGTTGAAAAAAAGTGGGGGGGGGGGTGGATGTAAGTGATGGGAGGTGGAAACGCTTTCTCTGACAGTTACTCTCCAAGCGTTCGTTTATATACCCTACCGCTCGATTTTTTATGACTCATGCAACTTTGAAACCTAGGCACGGCTCGGCGTTCCGAGAATAACCACATGGCCGCGGTTCGTGATTTTCAGCCGTTAGTTGGGCTGCTCCGGCAGGGTGATGCCGGTGCCGTGAAAATATGAAAACATTATATAATTGGCTGACTACGCTACAACTGTAACTCAGGTAAAGCATCCTAAGATAAAGTACTAGTGATCGTTCGCCGATTTTTTCTCCCAGCACTTCCGGCTGTTGTACTGGTGGAATCCACGTGAGCGTGGTATTCCCAAGGGAAGGTTCGCGAATCTAGCCAGATGGATTTATCATTGAGTTTCTTTGTTTCACTGTAGCGGCAGTTGCCGGCGGTGTACTTATGCGACTCAAGTGGCTCACCAGAGACTCAAATCTTTCTTTCTTTCACTCCTTCACTTCCTGGTGTACTGGTACACCTTCAACTCTACTATTCCACACCACCGAAGAGCGAGCACTCTCCTTTCCCCCTTTCTCCCTTAGGACTTCACAACATTTCAATAAAACTTTTAATCCACTTAATACACCCTCTTATTTGTCCACCAGATTTACCCCACTGATTGTTGTTGATGCGAAAATGTCCACTCAAACCAAGCACATTCAGGGAAACAAGAAGAATCTTAAACCGTCGTATGAAGAGATCAGAGTAGCATTGGAGGCGCAGCAGATGAGGCAGGACTTGGAGGATATGAAGCCATATGTGTTTCCCGAGGTGTGTCTTTGACTACGAATATCGGCATCATTCAAGTTAATGACGCGGCATCTACCAAACGGGTAGGTATACGACCGGGTGCTCGATAGAACATTCGAGGACGTGAAAGTCGAAGTATATCCTCTAGATGGGCTTCACTGGACGGAAGAACAACTTGCCACTCAAGGAGGAGGTCAAAGCATAACTTCCACCACTGAGCCGCCTCTATGGTCACCTTTCTGTCGCACATTGTGGCCATCTCAGAAACAAAACTTCCCGAGAATGTTATCCCGGTCTCAATCCGAACCCAGCATATCTTTAACCACTCGAGCTTTGAATCCTTCAAAAGAGAACGTGGACTCCACAGTAAAATCCCTTCCCTTGCGAGAAAAGACAGCTTCGACTCCTTCCTTGCCTTCTTACTTCTCGGCAGACCTTGGGAAATCGTCGAACAAAGATACTAGGGACGCCGGATCGGAAACCGGAATGTCTTATGCCACTAACGACGAATTTCTCTATGACGAAGAAGATCTCCCAACTCCCACCGTATCCACCTACGCGCGCTCGGATGGAAGCTGCGAGTCATTAATGTTTTTGGAAGGAACAAACGTCGACAGTTTGGAGTCTGATCCTACACATTCGCCTCGATGCAGCACCCCAGTTCCATTTGATTCATCTGAATCACATGTCGACGTTGAACTGAAACCGTCCGATATGTTTGCGTTAGTTTCACCCCGGAGGGCTCATGACGGAGGAGGCGGTAAACAGTCTAAAAAGTGAACGACATGTAGGACTCCTTTCATAAAAATGCACTTTGTAAAAAAGATAAAAATGTCGTAATGAATTCAGGAAATTGAAACACATAACCCCCGGCGAGGGTCGAACTCGCAACCTCCAGATTATATGTGAATATGGATGGATTCTGAACATAGAAGTCTGAGGTCATAACCATTAGACAACGGGCAGGATACGGCCATAATAACATAATCTTATGTTTTCCGTTCACCACATCCCGCCTACAGATCTAGATACCTTCAACATTTGCCATTTACCCACCGGTAGGAGGATCAAACAACTCTCCATTCGAATGAGACTTCGATGAGGCCTGATGGCGAAGATCTCGACATTTATGGCAACCCGCTTCTAAGCAATGGCAAACGCAGATCGCGGATAGGCGGGTAACGATAATCAATGTAGTGGAGGATAAGTGGGGTCTTTCATCCTAACAGAATCCGAGAAATCTGCTAGGATTTGGTGTTCACTGTCATGGGCCGGAGACCTGTGGTAAATAAGAACTCTCACGGACTTGATGATAGTTCCTAGCATTTTGAGGGATGCTTAGACTAGGTCACCAACCTACTTTTCCTCGCTGTTTGACGGGGCTGTTCAGAAACACAACTGACACCGATACGAGAATATTCGATTCCTCCATGGTCAAGTGACTCAGTCCTTCCCTGCGTACCTGCTCCTAATCGAGCCTATTCCCTCTTTTCCGTAATCCCGTTAATCGTCCTTCCATCAACCCGAGCGTCGAGGCAACCGTCGTGCGGGACTGAATTACAAAGTGTTGAAAAGGGCGCTTGACCATTAATTAGCTTCCCGCTTTAATTCCAAGAATGTGCTGTATGAATGTAGGTATGATAGGGGGCACTGAAAGGTTCATTTCAGCCCCAACTCAAGAATTGAAGTAGACAATTTCTCTGGTAACCGATCGACGCTCAAGGAGGTGTGCACAAATGTGGTACAATCACGCTTTCATTTAATGGGCCCTGATATAAACAAATTCTAATCCCAATAGATGAACAGGTATGTAATTCTGCCCAATCATGATGAGATTATTAGTAAGCCGTGGCCCTCTTTTATACCAACCACCTGACCTGTCTTCGTCTTTCAATCAGCTAGCCACCATCTCAAATCAGTTCGGTTAATATGATCTGTTGGCAAAGACCCCAAATTGACCCATGATACCAACCCGCCTCCAAGCGGGTCATGGCAAATGCAAATCTCGGAAAACTGCGGGTTACAGCGATTTGGTGGAGGGTGAAGTGTATCACATCCCATGATATTGTTGGGACTGCCCAGCATCCAGGACGATAACCTCTATGGCTGTCATTTGAAAGCACATAATCATGCGTAGACCTCGTCAGGAATTACACTCATAAAGCTGAAGATACGCTTGTAGCCCAAGTCGTATTACCTGAATGTGCCGATCCACAGCTCCTGCATATATCTCGACGACTGTCCTGTCGTGCACAGCCTAATCTGCCTTTGACAAGACGCTAGGTAACAAAGAAATTCGAGTCAGATGTCTGGTTGCGTCGAAGAAGAATCGGTCAAACCGCTTTGACCGAGGTCTATGCCACGAGCCACATCCATCTCTGCTTCAACCGCCTCGATTCAGCTCTCCTCTCTCATTGTTCATTGTCTTCTGTGGCATAAATGCCACATTCTCTTTTAGTATTTATACGGCTGCCTTGACAGCCTTTTTTCCCTTGTGTCCTTACATTTCTCGCATCTCATATCCGCTCGATAGCCTCTTTGAGGTTTTTGTTTTTATAGGACACCATTGAGCGCTCTCAGGCTTACACTCGTCTTCGTACCCGCGACGGAAAGGTTATTTATAAGCTACGCGGTCAATTTGTTTCACGGGCCTCTATTCCTCGGGATATCCTCGCTGCACTCGACTCAACTCCATTGACTCCTCCTCCTCCATCCTCCCCTGATGATCAACTCAGCCCTCGCGCTGCCTCTCGTCGCGATCTCTTCGAGTCAACTTCACGCCCGCATAACTTCACGTTACAACCTACACCTGATATGACTGGATCATCTGACGATCCGTCTACTACTGCCCCTTCCGGCTCGTCCCATGCCACAACTCCGCCCGTCGCTTTCTCTGCAGAAGAAATGATGAGGTTACTTGCTCAGGCACAAGAAACTATTCACACACTCTCAACTAGGCAACATACAGCTGACTCCACCGCTTCTCATTCCGAGCCAGTTGCCCCGGCCTTTATTGCTACTCCCGTTCCTGAACGTAAGTCTCTCTTTGCTGCTTTTCCTAGACTGGAGGCAAGCACCATCCTTGATGTCACCCGTCATGATTTGATCCCCACCGATATCCATAAACTCAACTCGAAACTGCGTCGGAAGGCAATTGACCAAGGCACTTTGACTTCCTTCACATCTCGTTCTGGCTCTAGCAAGGATTATCCTTCGCTTTCCTCCCTCCTCTATCCTTTCGGTGTCTATGTTCAGATTCTGGCCCACTTTGTGGCATCCGGTGGTCAAATCAATGTTCTCTTGACCCTCTCTACCGGATTTATGCAGTACATCATGCACCTTAACAATCTCAACCTGCGCTACGAGTGGGATGCTGTTCTAGCTTACCACATGGCTTACCATGCCGAGCGATGCCAATGTGGATGAATAATTATTCCGGTTGGGGAAAACTGGATGATCAACTCATTACCGAGTTTCTCAGTGGCCGTTTGAAGTCATCTAAATCTTCCTTGACTTCACAATCTTCCAAACCAGGCAAAAGGGCTCCAATCGAGCAGCAGACTTGCTTTGCTTTTAACTCGGGCACCTACAATAGCAAGGACTGCAAACGGCTGCACCAATGCTCTTCTTGTCAGTCTAAAGACCACGTTAAAGACTCTTGCCCAAAGAAGGATCAAAAGGACAAGTGAGGTATGGGCAGAGCGGGTCAGCATAGATACCGCTCCCATCTCTTGGCTGCTCGCTCTGGCCAGCAGCCCCATTTTTCCATGGATGTTTCTTGCTCGGCTCCCATCACCTCGGACTCCTCCCCAAATCAATTCACTCCGGATCTTCCGGCTTTCTTTTCCCCGCTATCACTGCCTCCCCCTCGCCCCAATTCCGATCCTCGTTGTAATTCCATACTCTCCCACACATCTTCACAAGTTCACGTCTCTTCCCCTCTCAACTTAAATGCGTGGCGGCACTACCTTCATGACTATCCCGACCAGCATTTTGTATCTAGTCTTTTGCATATAATATCATATGGAGCCAATGTTGGCTTTTCTGGACCTCAGCATCTACAACTTTGTCAGAATCTCAAATCTGCATCTGAATATTCATCATTTGTTGACTCCTCCATCAAATCTCTTCTCGAAAATGGTCATTTAGCGGGACCTTTTCCTACTCCTCCACACCCACATTTTCGTGCATCGCCTCTTGGGGTTGTCTCTCGCAAGTGCAACCCTTCAAAGCTACGCATTATCAATCATCTCTCCTGGCCTAAGTCAGGTTCTGTCAATGATGGAATTAATGAGGCTGAAGTTCGTATTCAGTACGAGTGTTTTGAGTGCGCTGTTGAAGATTTATTAATCTCCGGGCTGGGATCTCGCATGGCGAAGCTAGATCTCAAGGATGCATTTAGGCATGTTCCTTTATGAGTTGATGATCAGCATCTGATTGGTTACCAGTGGAACGGTAGCTTTTACTACTCACTAGTATTGGTTTTCGGGTTGAGCATGGCTCCCTACATTTTTAACCTTTTCGCCGAGGCTTTTCATTGGGTGATTCAGCACCACATTCTAGCTCACATCCGTCATTATCTGGATGATTTTCTTTTGACCTTTTCCCCGAGCACTCCATTATCAGTCTGCTTTGCAGCAGTAGACTGGGTTATGGCTCTGGGGAGGGAGCTTGGACTCAGTTTCTAACCTACCAAAACTCTCTGGCCTCATCTAGTGGTTGAATTTCTGGGTATCATCTTGGACTCAATCCACATGGAGGCACGGTTACCAGATGACAAACTCAATTTCCTTCACTCTCTGCTGTCATCCTGGAGTAATAAAACCCGCTGTTCACTTCGTGAGGTTCAGGAGCTCTCTGGTTTTCTTCAGTTTTGCTCGCAAGTTATTCCCTCATCTCGCCCATTTTTGCGCAGAATTTTCGATTTTTCTGCCAAATTCAAATCTCTGTTTTCAGTTTTATGGGTACCTAAAGGTGTTGCTTCAGACGTTGCTTGGTGGACCGTCTTTAGTGGCCAGTGGAACACAGTCCGCCTACTTCAACCCAGCTCTCCCTCCTGTGAGATCTTTACTGATGCGAGCGGACAAAAGGGACTTGGCGGTGTATTCAATTCTTCTTGGTTCTCAACCAGGGTTCCTCGATGATTCCGCTCCCGTGATATTCAATTCAAGGAGCTTTACGCTATCCTACAGGCCATTTTACGCTGGGGGGATCAATGGTCAAATCATCATGTCGTGTTTCGATGTGACAATCAGGCTGTGGTTGCCTGGAAATGGGTGGATATCTGAGAAAAATGTCAGTTCTAACCAAAGCACGAAAGAAATCATAAATGTACACTGTTCAACACCGGTCACTATCATCCTCCTCGATATCCAAATCCGATGCCGATGCCTTCGTTGATAGCGGTCGATAGTGATGCGTTAATACGAGATTCGCCACAAAATGGGGTTTTAAGCTTCTGTCAAATGATTAAGACAGGGGTGGAAGTAAGCATCAGATGTTGGCTGAAAACTACTTTGAGCTTATATCAGCTGATCCAAAGAGATGCAAATAGACAGACGCGTCAACATAACGCAGAGGCTCAAGCGCTCAACTTTCAACCCAACATCCCTCAGCCATTGCTTCGAACAAAAACCTGTCTGGCCACTCAAATTTGATTCTGGTGTATTGATTTGTCACTCGAACATGTTCTGGTGCAGTCACTCCTCTGGTGCTCGACCTCTTATTGGTGCTACTCTCCATCTCCCCAAAAACATGAGTCAGAACGACCCAAAATGCGAAATCAAGCTCATACTGCCATCTTGCTCTAGAAAACATGACGGGAATTATCGATGATGAACAGATGAAAACAAAATTCAAGGCAGCTTACTATTTCAAAAGCGGGAATCTTCCTCAGGCATGGAGAGCCTGGAGAATTGAGCACAAGGAAGATGTAAGTATTGGCCTTTCTTTGACAGTGATAGCTC